TGACTGTATATATAAATGTAAAGATTTCATAAGAGATGTGATATGCCCTCAAAATGGATGAAAATTTATAAATACAGCCCTTGCATTTTACAGGTACTGAACATCCTGAATGCCTATTTGCTTATGTGGTGATGTGCATGTGATAGACTGTACAGCTGAATTAAAATCTGCTGTTATCAAGCACCTTTAAAAACCTCCCCTACATCTCTGCCCCCCCATTATAACCTATCATCACTAGGGTAATCAGTCTGAATATACTGGGACATAAAAATACCAACGGCCTTTGCAATGTTCTCTAAAGTATTCTATTTTCCTCCCCATAAAATATGTCAGGCAAAATAAGTGATGGCGCATTATTTTTGGCACTCATTTAGGCCATCCTAAATAAAATACTGGCTCCATGTCAAAGTCATGCTTATATCATATTGCACTGGCCTGTGTGGCCTATACATTTTAGCTATGTCTTTAGACAGATGACAGACACACACAGATGACAGACAAATATACATATAATGGAGTCACAACAGCACTCTCATAGTTAACAAAGTAGGGGATTCCCCACTAGCTGCATTTCGAAAACCCACACTTCTGAAAACTTCTTTCTTGTTCATGGTTCTCATGTGGACTACAGAAGATAAAATTAAGAAAGTTTTCTGTTGTAGCTTTTAAAATGACTTGCTCAGTTATGACACTAAGGGCCTTGTTATGCATTAAATTTGGGCGGATCTTGGAGCTCTTAACCCCACATTAACATCTTTAAGCAGCTTAAAACACTCATTATCCAGCACAGTTATACCACTCCAGGGCAGGATTATCTCTTGGTCCACATAACTCAGGTCCTGTTCCATTAAGGTGTGGCCACTCAAATGGAAGGTGTGACTAAGCTGATCAACGTTTATGCAGCTCACAGTAACATGCAACAAGGTCCCAAGAAAATCATCAGAAGTGGCTTCTATGCGTGTTATCATTTCTACGATAAGTGATTAATATTATGAACTCTGCTTTACATAATATAAGCTTTTTAATGATAAGAAAGTACTGTATTACAAAGACAGCCTTCCAAATGTAAGCTGATCACATGGTCCTGATTATGCTCTCTGATCTACTGGAACAGACTTCAGTGAGATGCTGCAGAGGTTCAGTGGTCCAGCCTAAAGAAACTTAAACCCAAAGAGAATCAGATCCTGGGAATGTGTATTGGTCACTATGGTTCATTTATCTAGGAAAGCTACAATTTAAGATGTTACAGAAATAATGTTTCTTCTATAGTCCCTCCCAGCGCAGCTGCAAATCTCTTCCACCTCTACAGCTCTTCAAATTTCTGTTCCCTGAGCAAGTATCTTCACATGCACTGACATGTTGAAATTCAATGGACTTACCGAGGGCCAAGAGATAATAAAATTTAAAATTTCTATTGCTCTCACCCCACAATATCATTCATAAAATAATAGAACTGGAAGGAAACTCAAGGGTCATCTGTCCTAATGCCTGAAATAGATTCAGGATGAACTGTTTCTAAATTATCCCAGGTGATGCTTACCCAAGCTCTTCTTGAACAGCTCCTCTTTTTTAGCTTTGCAACACTACATTTCTAGGGTTTCTATTCCATCTCATCAAAACTGGTGTTATCAAGAGGAAGGAGAGGCTGCTACTCTGATCTTTTTCCAGAATTTTGACCCTATCCACATATGATAGGAGACACTGTCTGTATTTAACTCTTGTGGGAGTCAGGCAGCAGCAGAATATTCACAAGCCATCGCTCCACCACAGGAAGACATAACAGCACCTTTACCTACACAGCAGTAATTGAAATATGTCCTGTAGGGTTATTCAGGAACACATATGAACATCCACACACATCACAGGAGGCCCAGTAAACAATTCTGGGGCTCTTTTACCTGTAAATTCTCCAAGTGACATAACAAGCCTTCTTTCCTATCTAGTGTGTGAGGCTGTGTGGTTCTACCACACCAGCAATTGGAAAGAGCCTAAAAATGCTGGGCATTACCAGATCTCAAGCCAGATATGTGGCGTGCACAGTCATTGGACATACTGGCCTTTAGATCAGGCTTGGCCAACAGTAAAATTAATGCGACGTTCAAGAAGTACTTAGGATTGTCACAATTAAAATGAACCCGACTGAGTAATATTTCAATCACTTTCAGTCTTCTTTCATCTGCTTTGCAGCAGCACAAATACTAGCCACTACCCTCTTCCACAGTGCATGCCACTACTTGTGTGTTTTGCAGCGGGACACAGTCTTGCTGCTCCACGTGCTGCAGAGGGGGCTGCTGGGGCACAGGGTGCCTCAGTGTAGGGCTAGAGCAGCCAGGGAACCACTCTCCTCCCCTGCCCCCAGTTGTTTTTTTTGTTGTTGTTGGTTTTTTTTTTGGATAGGGGGTTGCTAAAGGGAAAACCCCTGCACACCTGGATCTGGCCAAAGGGTTCCCAGAATTTAGTTCCAATTCTAACCAAGTAAAAGTGCTTCCTCTGAGAACACTAGGTTCTAAATCAAATCATTGTGAAGTCTATCAGAATTCTGGGTTCTATAATCTGTTGATGTTGTGCAAGTATCTCAGATGACAGCAATTAAGTTTATAACTATACCCAGACCTACTTTCTGGACAATCTGTGAAAAAGTTCTGGGTTATGCTTTCTTCTACCTACTCCCTGAGCAGGTAGTCATAGTCACCATCTCCCCCCCAAAATCATGTTGAAATCCCATACAAAACTATCAGTTGATAAGAAATAGGTAAATGGGACATAGGCACTTCTTTATATGCATCTCATAATTTCTTGAAATTAAATTTCACCATCTCAAAATGGTCCAGTTCACACAGCTAATCTAAATAACTGATTGGTTGTTATTGCTCTCATCTTGTTGTAATGTCATTTTAAATTTGCAGCTTTTTCTTATTCAAAAACATTTTGACAGTACTGGTCTTTTAAAGAAAGCACATCATGATTTTTGCTTTATAAAAAAAGATATCTTACTTTTATATATTTTGTTGAAATCCAACATTGTGTCATCCAATCCTTTCTAAGCTATGCACACAAATCCTTTGTCATAGTTATCCTGATAATGAAATCCACAACTCAAAGAAAAAAGGAAATTTTACAAGTATGCCACCATCTCCACCTGGGAAAGAATACAAGTTCTACAAAGCTTTACACTAGATCCACATCTAACTATTATAAATCATATACTGTACAGTGGATAATAGATTAATATGCCCTTAAGGGTAAGAGGTTTTGCATTAAACAACTGTGTAAAAGAACAAAAAGAAAAGAAATTGCATTTATTCAGTGCTCATGGAAGAGACGGACTAACCATGCAGAAAGCTAGAGCTCTCTGCTTAATCACGAAACAAGTATGCTAGGGACAATGGCAGGAACAATTCTCTCAGTAATTCTATCTGTGTCTTAACTACAACCTGCAGAAAACACATCCAGAGCTGAAAGGAAAGTTCAACCTGAAAAACCCATTTAGACTTTGGCCTCCCTTGCTGAGCCTGCCAGCAAAGGTGCCAATTAGTGCCGGTTGTGATGGTGGCTACGCAAATACCAAAACTGACCTTCTCGTCTCACTCCACCAATATAGGAGCTACCAGGTCTGACAAAATCCAAAACTTTTCACCTATGCACTCAGTGGAACTTTAGATTGCTGTTTAGAAGCTAATTCTTGATGAGAAAGTGTTTTCTGAGTGAGGCAAAGCAAGTCCACTGTCAGTGGTCCACAAGATGCATGTCAAGGCAACTAAGGAAGCTCAAAATACAAAACAATTTTGAAAGTTCCTAGCAACACAGTTTATCTTGTTGACTGGATGTTTCTACTTCCACTGTTATTCTATAACAATTATACCTATATGTAGGTAGAGAGGGGAGGAAAGATGTACAAAATTAAAACATAAAATTTGTAGAGGATTTTAGAAATTATTTCTTGTTTGAAAACAAGCAGAAGTATCCCGAAAAACTGGTCTCATTCCTCAGACTTCTTTCCACATACACATACATCCACACACAAGATACTGTTGGATTCTCTATGAAATGGTATAACTCACCTACTAAAACTTGGTGGCCCAATTTTTTTCTGTACCTCTGATCTGTACCTCTAAAATTCAGGCCATTAGGGCCAAGTCCTGCAACCTTTACTCATCTCAGAAATCATGGGATTACTGGTAGAAGCTTAGGTAATGTACATGAGTACTGGCTATAAGATCAGCTCCCCAAACTGCTTACTGTAGCTGAATAGCAAGCTTTCAAAATAAAATTTATAAAGAAATGTTACCTAGAACAGCCATGTATAAGAAGTTTAATAGAAAGGGATTACACATTGTTTTATATTCTTTGTAGCTGAATTTATGCAAAACCCCTTTTAGCCCCTGGATATCAAAATCAAATGGGTATTTTAAAGTTCCCTAACTATAGGGTACAAGAGCAAAATAGTTTTTAAGAGACATTCCCCAGAACCTTCAGGCCACATGCCAAATCCCCATTAAAAGCACTAATTACTTAGTCTGCATTACAAAATGGTGTATTGGCAATAGACTAAAGATCTGTGGAAAAAATCCAATGTTAAATAGGCAAGTCAGACAAAACAGGAACCTTCAAAGCAGAGAGACACTGAATAAAGAAAAGGAGCACCTTGCCAGTATCTCTGCATTATTTGAAAGTACCTGCACAGCTCCCAGCAACATTGTAAGCAATATATTACTTTCTATAACTACGCAGCAGTGTTAGGGAATCAGCAAAGTAGCATTCTACTCCAGCGGCATTATATAGGATTCTGGCATAAGAACAACCAGGGTGACTGAGGCTCTAAAGTTCAAAACCTCAGATGATTTTCCATGAAATCCCGCTAGAATGTAAGAGCATCCCATAATCAGAATGAATGATAACAAATTTACAAAAGACGGAGATTTAAAAAACGCCATGTAGCCGTGATACAAGCTGATTCATGTGAAAAGGAAACAGGAAAGCACAGTGAGGGTGCTACTTACATTCTAGTATTGCTGGTCTTGTTGATAATTACAGATTTTCCAGTTTGATCCACATTGTGATCCATCCCAAAATAAGCTGCTACTCGGTGCACTAACATCCTCTGGTATGAAGACATCTGAGGGAACTTTTTGTAGTGATTGCTGGAAGAAAAAAAAACACACTGATCAGTTATATTTTTTTATTGCTCAGAGGTGGGAATGTTATAGGAAGATTTTTTATATTTGATATGCAGTAATTTAACTTAATGCTGTCCCTTTGCAAATGTATACACAAGTTTGCTGCAGGAAGGCAAAAAGCCAATTGTAGTGGCTACGTTTTAGGAAATATCAGGGTCCCTCTAGACTTACACAAAGGCACAATGAGATCTAATCCATGACACACAATTATGCCTCCACAATTACACCCCCATGACTACTGAGACCCAGCTGGAAGGTGAGCTGCCTGGGGTCTGGGTCCTGGCAGCTGCGGGATACTGCCAGGACAGAGTCAGCAGCTGCCGAGGCTGAGACTCCCAGCCCCAGCTGGTCATGGTACACCACTGTATATCTGGGAGCCCTGGGAGCTGATGGGGCTTCCAACTGCAGGGGAGAGGCTGCTACATGTGCAAATTAAAGCTCGGTAGCAACAAGTTAAAGTTAGTACACATTTTTGAGATCTAACTTTATAGCTGGTTGGAGCTTTTTATGGCGTGATAGGTATTTTGCACATGAAGCTAGTCCCAAAGTAACGGCACAGTTAACCAGTTAATTGCATGATACCTGTAACATGTAGAGGTGGCCTGGGGTACATCTGTGGCCAGTAACAATGAAACAGAGACTTTTATGGGTTAAGTTAAGCATCAGCCGATATCAGGAAGTACTTGTTCCCTCCCCTACACTTTTCCTCCAAGTACATCGGACATCTGGGCAAGGCACATTAGGAAAGACTTTTCCACCTCCAAATCATGAGCTTTTGACTAATATCCTTAAAGGACAAGCCTTTTATTCTTCCCTTTTCCTGCATTTTAAAATGTCTATTTTCCCCATCAAATTGTCAGGGTTTTTGTTTTGTTTTCTTTTTATTTGTTCTTAACCAATAACATAAACCAGTAGCATAAAACATTAATACATAGAATAAAACAAAGGCTTTTTATCCCTTAAAAGGAGGTCTAATTTTATTTTTCAACATATTAAAATACTGTAGTGCGAAGAGCAAATTGAGCAATAGAATATTTGATTATACATCCTTATTTAGGGATGATTGCATTATATCCTTTGCGATGAAAGCTTTACAATTATTTTTCGGCATAACTGACTGAAGCCAGCTGGAAGCCATTAGAGAACTGTAATAAAAATGAAAAGTCATGCTTTTTGTTACACTATCATATGCTAATCTGTAGGTCTTACTGAAAGCAATTTGTCAGGAATTTAGGGCCTGATCTTGCAAGGTGCTAAGCTCCAGCACCTGGTGCACTTAGAACACTCAAGTATCTGTCCCAGATGAATGGCATTTTTATTTCATGAACACAATACATATCGATAGCATGCAAATATTCACATAGCAGAAACTAACCAATAAACAAACTTAACTTACTTGTTGTCACTAATAAAATCAATAATTTCCTGTTCCATTTTCAAGAGTATCATTCTGTCCCTATAAGGAGAAACATGGTGATTTGAAGGATTAACTGTCAAAATATTTTTAGATCTACAACAGTGTAGCTTTTACATTAATCACAGGAATCCCTTTATTTATTTACAAATGGTTTAACTATTTTGATTCTAATATTTGCTTTGGTGCACCTGGTAAAAGGAGATACTTCCTCCTCTCTACTCATGCTGACAAGGTAAGAAATGGACTTCATTACTCCTAGAGGACAAATGCCTGGCAACATTTCCAGCCCCAAAGGTCTGTTCAAATGGCTTAAGGGAAATGTCCCTTTCTACAACTGGGGAATGGCGATATTGCAGGTATACAGATATCATTTATCATGTTTCTTTTCAGAGTAGTAAATGGTTGAAACTTTGCCATCAAAGCTGACTTTTGATGGCAAATCTGGTTTCAACCAAAAGAAATTTTTCATAGGAACTTTGTTTTGGGTAGGAAATCACATGCCTCTCTCTAAAAGGAAACAAATATATAGAAACAAAATATATTCCATTATGGATTTTTCAGCAAGAGAGGATGCAGTGAGGCTCATAATTCAGCCACCCAACTTATTAAAAATAATGACATAAGGCAGTCTGAGGAGGCAGAACCATAGTCTTTCTGAATCACAATATTCTGTTTTAAACTTTAAGAATCCAACTTATGATTTTTTAGTAAAATGTTGAATATTTTCCACAACTCTGCACTCCCCCCAATACATTTTCCAGCTGCCCCTCCCAGCTAGCAAGCCATTTACTTATAGGATACTTCAAGGGCTTTTCTGTCTTTAATGTGAAATGTGAGTTTATTTATTTTGAAATCCCAAAGATTTTTAACTTAATGTATAAACTGCTCTTTGCCCAATTATTTCTTGGTTTCCTGTCAGTGAAAGATGGTACTATGCAATTTATTTTTTTCCAAATTCAACAGGAAAAATGAGTATTTTAAATAAAATGTGTACGAAGATCTTTATTAAAACTTTCTTTATACAGTCAAGATCAATTTCTATAGCGCAATGACTTCACAGCTCCAGACTGATTGTGTGCATAAAGAGGCTTCTTAGTACTAACAATATGGTGAGAGTTGTATATAGCAGTTCCGAGAGAAAACTGCAGCCTATACATACAAATAGTCCAAATTGTATAGGCTATATGTTAGTGTTAAGAGTCTTGGGATGTAGTTGTGTGGGGGAGAAAATAGGCACAATGGTCAAATTTCAGGGAAAGCAATTAAGCAGTGAGAAACTGGAAAGTCTATGGAGTGGGGGTTGATTGGTTTATGAACTTCTTGTTAAAATTGTCATGCTTCCATCATTAATTTCTTCCTAATAGCATTCTCTAAAACTAATACTACAAGATGTATAATTTCTATGATATGGCCAGGGCTATACCAGGAGTCTAACTACATGCACGACTACTTACCTGGGATTATTCTTTAATGTGTTAATCAAAAATTCATGCAAATCTATGCCTGTTGAATCTGTATATTCTTGGCTGCAATCTGAAAAAAAAATAGACAATTGTTTCATTTCAAAAGGTAAAATTAAGTCACCCATGAGGCAAATTCTGTTTTCAAGTCAGTAGTCTGAAGAAACATTCTAAAATGTACATGCATGTTACTACTTAAAATGAGCTGTACCCCAGGAAACACCAGGAGGAAATCTACATTTCTCTGTACTATACTAACAACAGGCAGCACCAAAGCTGGATGTTAACAGGGAGTGCTGCCCTTTCCATATCATAGAAGGTGTTTAATTTCATCCAAGCACTTCCAACTTACTACCCTTAAATACATCTTTGTCAAATTCAACATGAAGCATATGCAGATATGCCATGCCAGTGAGAACTCTAACCATTTTAAAACACTGGCAGCAGTAACTTCTGAAAGCTGGTAGGTAATCATGGCAAGCTGCAATGGTGTATTCAAAGTAGATTTATACTGTGGGTTTTGGGTCTTCCCAACACTAGGTATGTTCTCAGCTGTTGAGCTCTGTCATCCTCCTCTGAAGGCAACTGACAATTCACTTCTGCTGAGGATCTGGCTGCCTGCAGGCAGGCAGGCAATGCTTAATCTTAAGAGTCTATGGTGTGGTTTTGTAACATGGCTAAAATTATGTATTGCAAATAAAAAAATAAATTGGATTCAAAATCATCTTGCATATACCTATTCTGCTAAACCAGAATTACAATATGTAATGGGTAATTTAAAAGTACGGGTTAAAAGCCATGCACAGATTTCTCAATAACATTAACAAACAGACCAATAGGGCATAAGCAATATATAGGAGTAGAAATCTTGGTGGCAAGACCAATTTTCACTAAAGAGGTAATGTATTCTTATGCTATCTTTTACATAAATATTATTTATCATATACATATACTGAAATACATTGCACATGCACGTGTAAACACAGTTATGTATTAAACAGCTGCTATATACAAACCATTATGCTGTATGAAATATCATAGATATGTCACTGTATGTTACCTCCTTCTACACCCATCCTTTTGTGACATTTATTCCCTTTTATCCACTTAAAGTTGATGTTTAACATATAAATATCTACAGAGTTTTTGCTATATGTGTAATGCATAGACAAAAACAGACAGACAGATGTCAGTGTATATAAAATGCACGTTCAGAAGTTTTGCATGTGTGACCATAAAAATTATTTAAATACTTTTAAGTTCACCTTTTGATAACATTCTGATCTTGGGTTTTTCACAGGTTTTATCTTTCTCTTTGTTTTTATCCTTCTCTTTCTCTCTGTCTTTCTCAGAATCATCTTTACTAGATTTGTCTTCTTCTTGTAGGCTGGGGAAACTTGAAAGCTGTAGTTGTATTGATTCCTGTTGAAAAAAACATAACAATTTAGGGCCAGATTCTGTAAACTGTACATGGCTTCCAAATTGCAGAGGTTTACATTAAAGTGTGCACCGTTAGAAAAACTGAAGCCATTAATAAATTAATCTTATGAGGAGAATAATGTATTCTTAGGGCCAAACTGCTATCAGATGCGTGTTTCCTGCTCCCATTAAAGTCAGAATATCCTCCTTAATATTCCCAAACTAAACACCTCTTAGTTGGTAAATATTAAAAGGCACGTTATTCTCAATTTCTAGTGATCAAGATTCGTTTAATAGTTGTTATAATATTAGAAATTCATATGGGCTGTTTCCTTACATTATTTTATTTCTTGATAGAAACTGTAGATGTTAAAGACTACTAGCTAGATAGACAAATAGCTTTAATAATATCATTTTTTCCCATGGAAAATATGTTGCAAATTCATATGAAGTGCTATGAACACATCTAGTGCTATATAGGTTTTAATAATCATTCACTTCCCATAAATAATAAAATCAATAGTACCCTATTAAGCATATTAAGTTATCAGGTTTTTCACATTAAAAACCATCTGGCAATGCTGCGTTTATGCTAATGCTAAAATGTGTATTATACTTTTGGATAAAGTGCCTATATACTAACTAAATTTCTCTAATGCTTCAGAAATCTATGTCGTAAAGATTTTGGCATTTCAAAGACCCTGAATCCCTTTGAAGCTGCAGTTATTAGAAACTGGGAAATTTGCTGCGTTTGACCTCTTTGTTTTGGATTTTATTACTAATTAATCTCCATTCGCACCAACACTAGATTTTTGAGACAGCAGTTTAAAAAACAAAAACAAAAACAAAAAACCAAAAACCCACAGGTTAGTATTTAAGAAAAATTTTAAACAGTGCCATGATCATTGAGAAGGAATAGAACCTGACTATAAGAAGGGGGGGGGGGAGAAAAAAAAAAGTAAGTATCTCAGTATTTTCACTTTTTTATATAAAAATGACTTAACAATATCAGATATATAAACTTTGTAAAAAATGCATGCTCATATCAAATTCTAGCACAAGTTAGTAATATTAAAAGTGTGCTTTTTACATAAAGCACATTTCATAATTGATGAGTGATAATCATCACATCAGTAAAATCCAAATTAATTAATATTAGAAAAAATAAGAAAAGCTGCCTTTCATTATTAAGTTCCAAAGACAACTGTTTTACAGAAAAGCAAGTATCTCTACAAAATTATAGTGTATTTTTAAGCAGCAGAATATTAGAACTGAAGTGATGCCTGCAATAACTATTATACACCTTAGAGTCATTAAAATGTTGCTTAAAAAAAAAAAAAAAAAAAACCACCAGCCACCACAACAAGCATAAGACAAAAAAAAATCTTAACAAAGCCATTTATCAGGGTAAACATGTCACAGTAAGGCAGGAATTCAACACTGCCTCTGCTGAATCGGTGCCTTATTCTTAACATTAAGCTGAAATGTGATACAAAAGACTTGAGATGCAAGGCACTGTAAAACTGAAGCAAGTCATATATCCAAAACACGACGGTATTCTCAATCCCTACTGTTATTATTGTAAGGTGGAAATGCTAACAAAAGGTTGCACTGAATACAGTAAAGGATTAGGAACTCTCAGGCATCTGAAATAAGGCTATGCAGGAAAATATCCCCTGTACTGCCAACTTGCACTCAATGGACTAAAGTGTTTTTTCCCCCCACTCTTTCACTTGTCCAAGTGAGAAATTTAAATACCATTTTTCATTACAATAGGGTTTTATATGAATCAATCTGAAGACCAACTTCAGATTCCCTGGGCTACCTATGGAAGGTGATTCTGCTATTATTTCTTTTAAGCAAAAAGGAAAAAAAATTGTAACTAGTTAATCCATCCTCAGGAATTTAATTCCAAACTGAGAATGACTATTAAAATGCACCTACAGTAACCAGAGAGAAAAAAAAAAGTGACAGACTTTACAAACAGCATAAACAACACAGAAACAAACAGCATACACTTTGTGTTACATATAACATGCTACTAAAGTATTTGGTTGCATTTGAAGAAACACACAAAGGGGCTGTAGTCGTGAAAGCAATCTATCATATATTTTTGTTATATTTATTTTTATTGATTTTTCTCAATAGTAAAATACAATATTAATAAGTACATTGGTACAAGGTAAGTAGAGTGAACAACAAAAGAAATGTTCAAGTTGCAATAGTACACTGATAGATCAATAGTATAACATTAGAGGCAACATTCCTTATAAGTAAGGACATAGTGAACCATCAGGTAAGCGTTCAAGATCAAGTAATACAGGTAACAAGTTTTTCCTACACAGGAAAATGAAGGCAAATTTTCAAATATAAATACAAACATTAGGTTTGCAGTACAATCCATACTCTGTAGTGCTGGCAATGTACCATACATTCTCTGGTACTTAAGACCCTGTGCTTTGTAAACCATTAAGATAAACTAATAAAAAAATTCCAAAGAAACTGAAAATATGCTTCTTTTTCCTTTAACGTGAAAGCAAACCATTTCATTTGGCACAATACTTCCAATATCCTTCAGCCAGTCCAAGGAGGAGAATGCAGGGGTAGCTTTCCTTTGCAAAGCTAATCTGTATTAGTTAGCAAAAGGCCAATAAGAACAAAGTATAGTTCCTATCTAATCGATTACTCAGAGCCAATTGTCTTTCAGACAGACAATGGTGTCCAGGGGTGTTTTGACTCCTGTGATCTTTGTAACAGTCCAAGGATTCTTGCCAGTACCTTTGCAAACATGGGGTAGGACCAAAGGATGTATGTAAGGAACCCCTCCTCTGTCTGGCATCAGGGTGCAGTTTGGGAGAGGTATATTATACCCAAACCTGCCAACCTCCATGGAGTTTAACATACGTCCTGTGCAGTACATTATAAACTACCATGCGATGTTTAATACAATCTCTTATATTTATATTATTCTCCTTTCATTCTCCATTAAACAATAGAAAACACAAATAAAATGCAGAACAAAAGCCACACATTTCTAATAACGCAAGTTAAGCAAAAAAGCATATACCTACAACTGAACAACTGATAAAATAATCTGTCAATTGCTCTACTGCATAAGCATCATTGTAGAGCAGTGAGAACTTGGAGAAGTCCACCTGCTAAACAAGATCTGGTTTTTGGTCTTTCAAAAAGAAAAAAGAAAAAAAAAGTCCTCTCCATACTTATGAGCCTAAGAGGAGAGTTTGATTTGTTTCATTTCAAGTCAATAGAGGAAACTCCAAGAAAGTACACTTAATAAATGTGACTTCAATATTCTGAGCTCACAAAAGCCATTCTCTCAATCTTTCCCCTTCTTTCTCTCTGTGGCTGATCTCATTTACCAATAAAACAACTGAATCTTTTAAGTATCAATGCTGGTAGCTTTTAAGGATTTTTTTTTCTAATCTTGCTTTCAGTGGGCTAATAAAAAAAAATAGTTTATGACCTTTTTTTGGAAGAGAATCTAAAAGGACTGTCTGCCATAGTCTAAATCTGTTGGCTTGAATTGAAATGAAGTTTTGGTCCAAGAAGGTTTCTTTGGAATAAATGGAATACAACACCAGTACAGACTGATTCATGCTTTTTTTTTATATTGGAAAATCTGCACCAAATGTCAGATGGTGCACCCTCTTCACTGCCAATATATATTAGAGTCAATGATATGTGTATTATTGTGAAGTGCACACTGGGGAGACTGATGCATTATAGATCTCAGCTGAACTAGAAACCGGTGCATATTCAGAACTGTATCTGGTGTAGCCTCCAAAGAGAGAGCCTTAGAGAAAAAGAACAATTTTATCTATTTATTTTAAATTTTAAATCTGAATTCTTTTGAATTCTTTTCCATTTGTTGAAATTTTCAGGGGGTCTGGAAAAAAAAGCAAACAACACCCTGTGACATACTGTTAAACTACTACAATATTGCAAAATAATAGTTCACGCTAAACCAGATAACTTCATAAAATCTTGTGCATTGTTGGATGTAATTTTTTCCCCAAATGTAGCATTAAAAGCCCAATTAAGTAACATAATCATGCAAGTGGAAGTGGAAGTCAACCATGCAGCCAACAGCAATGATTTCAGATGTACCTGATTATCATGAAGACCTTCTGCTCCCAGGCGAGGGGAAGACTCCTCGCACACAGCAAGGCTCCGGACCAGTTTTCCTTTAGCTCCTGACTGAATGAGAAAGAAAAAACAAAACAAAAGAAAACTACTGCTCATCGCAAATCTCCAAATGCATCAACCACCCTAATAAAATTTCAAGCAATAACTACCCGTTCATCTTGCCAAGCTTTATTTGCCTGAGATGCAGTTATATGCACGTGGCAAATAGAAGATAATAAAAAGTAGATTTTGTCCGGCACACTATGTGCCACGCCATGCAGCTTTTGCTTTTCAGCCTTTTTGCTACCTCTCACTTACACTGAAAACCATAAAGGAAAGACAAAATACAGAACCACAAGAAAAATGAATAGCAGAGTCAAAAACACTTATTTGCTGTAGCCAGCAGCAATATAAAAATCTGACCACTTGGCAATATATTTTAAAGCTTTTTTTTTTTTTTTTTTTTTTAATTTTATTACCCTGCCCTTCAAAAATAGGGAATAAAGAAATCTCAGTTGAAAAGAAAAGGTGGGGGGGGGAAAAAAAGAGAAAAGAAATCACTAATTAGCTCCCTTCCTTGTACTCAGCATCTTCATTCCCTATGATTTCTGCCACTTGATTATTCCTCTTAAATAAAAGTCAAATAAAAATGTTAATTACAAAGGAAAAAAGGAATGAAATTTTTTTTTCTAGTTACACATACACAAGCATACATGCAGTATACCCTCTCAAGCACATGGCCAGCCCAAGAGCATACGGCAGGATGGACAAAAAGGGGACATTAGCACTTAGTATCTGGTGAAACTACCTTTGTGCTACATGCTTGTGAGGTAAAGGGAACAGTAAAAGCTATTGTCACATATGCAGACAGTCATCTGAATGGCACTATGGTACACTGAGCTGACACAGAGCTACCGTTTCACTTACAGATGGAGCCTTACCTTGGATCTCTTCTTCTGCTGGTTCTGGTTTGCACCTCGTTTCTGTGTGAAACAAACAACATGTGTCTTTTTAATGTAAAATGCCCACAACAGGAATATCAGCAATACTTCATTAAATCATTCCTGAAGCAATACTGTATCATACAGCAACTTCCCTAAAGCAACTGAAAAGCAGAAGAGTTAAGAATTGCCTCTGCTGACTTTGTGCTTTGATCTGATTCGCATAATAGTATGCAGACTTAGCAGTGTTTTGCAATTTTATGCTCAAATAAAATACAATAAAAGGACAACACTTAAGTGAGCCTTTCCCTTTCTCCAAATGTCTCTCTCTTTTAAATCCGTCAGAGCTCCCACTAACTTTGGTTTCTTTCTTTTTACATTTCTAAGTAATAAAAAAGCTCCTCTGATAAAGTCTCAGGTTTTTAATGACCTTTCTTTAGTTGTGCATACTGGCAGTAACTGTTCTATTTTAAAATATGGCATATGCTGTAAAATGAACCAAACCAAAAATTCTAAATCGGTGTTACTAATCCGTTCATCAGCACAAGATCATTCTTAAATACCCAAGGAGGGAAAACTATCAGTCTAATATTAAACCAAAATTTCATAGCGGGCACTCAGTGCCAAGCTCACTAGTAAAATAAATAACTACCAATAACACAACCCAAAAGAGCTTTGAAAGTCAATTAAGTGATCTCACTTACTTTGTATGGGGTAAGATGGGGTAGGGGAGCACCAAACAAATTAGAGAGAGAAAGAACGCACCAAAATGAAATAAGGAGTGAAGAATAAAGGAAATCTAGCCAAGTGAAAGAGACGATTATAATAACAATAACAAACGGACAGCCCATTCACTCCCTTCTTCCTCTTACCTGGAGCTCTGTCTTGGCATCACTCAGCTTCTCCTCTTTTTCTTCAACTTCTGAGCTTTCCGTTTTATTAATGATGCAGTTCTCCGGGGTCACTTCGGAGATGGCAGAATCCTGCTCTTTCGCAGCTTCCTCCGCAGTCTCCTGGTTCAATTTACCTTGCTCAGACATTCTTCCAGACAGAAATTAAAACAACAAGATTTGGTGACCTAAAAGGTCAAAACATCACAAAAAATGGGGGTGAATTTTTTATTTTGATTCCCAAGTGAATCATTTCATTTCCTTTGATAAGCAGACCCAGATAAAGTGGCTCGGGGCAACATGCTCCAGCTGAAAAATGGTAGTGAATCAACACTGTCTAACAGTGGAACTGAGGCAAGATAAACAAATAAAAGCAGCTTTATTTTAAAAAACTTCCTTGGTGGTAGAAAATGAAAACCAGATTTGAGGTAAAGTTTTCTCATTCCACAGCCAAGGTGCGACTGCAGAGCTGCAGACAGGAATGGAAAAGGGTTTCTCTTTTCCCTCACCACCCCATCAAAAATAAGTCAGATGGATCAAATAGAGGATGACCAATTAACACTTCCGGTCAGAGGCACATCAGTGCTCCCCCTGCTCCCGAATCCGTTTAAAAAAAATAAAAAAGCACCTCAAAAGAATACGGCAGATTTCTCTCTCTCAGGTACTGCTCTGTGTATAGTAAGAGTCTACAGCATTCACTACAGGAAAAAATTAAATTCACTTGAAGAGGTAATAATTCAATATAAATATGAAATCTAAATTTGGCAATAAAGCTCTCAGGGTCAACATTTCCAGGCATCAAACTGACAGCTCCATTATTAAAATCATAAGCTTCTTCCCAAACCCCATGTCACTCTCCATGTCACTGTGGAAATCCTCCTGGAAGCCCTTGGCAGGTAGCTCTAATGAAGATATCTTAACTGCACTGCATTGCTCTGAGCTCACAATAAACTGTTTTACAGAAGCCTTAAATGGCTTATCAAACTAAAAGACTGTTATTATTTTTCCTCTCCCTCCCCACAAAACATCCCCCCACACAACCCCACTGATCTATTGTCAAATGAATCTTATGAATAATTTAGCTTTTTTTTTTTTTTTAAAGATGTATCTAGAGGAAAAAAACCCCAACAATGAACAGCTACAGTGGAAAAAGGGGTTGTTTCAGAAACAGACTGCAATTGTTCGCCTCCCAACAATGAAACAAATTATTTAGACAAATCTATACGTTGCCATGTTTCTTTTTATAGCTAATAATTAACATTCACCGGGTCCTGTAACACTGTCCTTCTCTTTTCTTTTAACTGGAAATACAAACGAAGATGCATTTTAAAGTCTTGGTACTTTTGGCTTTAGATTTTGATTTTTCATCTGCTTTCACACACTAAATAAAGCAAATTATGATAAAGTGCTTCTGTATAACAATAGGAATATAGTATTGCTTTGCAGAGGACTGTGGGAATTTGGTGGACTGGGGTTTATCTAACATTTATGACTTTCATATGTGTGAATCTGAATGTCATGACGGGATTGTAAGCTCATATGCTATAGAGTACAGTAATACAGAATTCAGTAATTTCTCAAAAGCATTCATTTTTCTTATTGGAAAACAATGTTGCCGATTAATTTCTGGCTGTTGTGTACTTACGCTTGTAACTCAAAATAATTCACTAAAATTTAAAATCTATTTAATGTGAGCTACGTGACCTCAAGCAAACTTAAGACGATTTAGGCACTTACGTACGCACGCACGCGCACGCACTGTATGCCTTTATGTACACATATTCCACAAATATACCTACATGCTCACAAAATATTTACTAATACAAATATCACAACAGCACTAGATTAACACACAAGCTATTTACCTTCAAAGTTGCTTTAATTCCTGATGTCTTTCTAGCTGCTTCTGTTGCTCTTCACTGGTTAAATCCACACAAATTATGAAAGACAATGCGCGTCCCATGTCCCCATTAACAGTTCAGAATGCCAATCTCCATGCTGTTCCTTTAGACAGTTTGACAGATCATCATCAACCTGGAAAAAGACGAAAAGTAAATAATAATAATGGAAATAATCATGGTAGGGTTAAGGATGAAATAAATAGGACCAGATTTCTAACACTAATGACCAGCTTCAAGCAAATCACTTTCACAGCTTGATCCAGCTCCACCTGTCTCAAAACTGCCTGCTTCTTCTCTAATGAAGGCTAGAGCCGGCTGTTCAAGTCATAACAGCTCCTACGCAAAGCGCTAAAATTAACAATTGCATTATGCACTGAAGATTACTCACTTCAATTTTAACCTTTTTTAGTGAATTCTAGCACTTTTCATTTAAAAAAAAAAAATGTATAAGCTCATCTGTTTGCTTCAATGGAAATCAGTATAGGCTGTGAGCGGGGGGGGGGGGGGGAAGTGTCTGTTTTTAACCAAAGCTTCAGCCCCAATTAGGGCTTTAAACAATATTTTAAAAACAGCTCCATGACTGCTTTTAGAAAATGACCTCCTTAAGGGTATGGTGCATTTAAATGTTGATTTAATGAGGCATATCGGCTGAATAAGAGCCGAAATGACCAAGACAGCAGGAGAAGAAAAAAAATGCCCAACCCCTTAAACAATGGGGGGAAGGGAAAAAAAAGAAAGGAAAAAAAAAAAAACAACAGTGAAAACTTTCCTTGAGGCAGCATGTGAAAAAGAGATCTCAACATTATTGCTCAGAGAGCAGGACTGACTAAAGGAACAATTGCTTTAGAAGTGCAGTGCACACCATTTGTCAGGATTGTTACTGCCAGCTGGATATTTTATTTGACAGAAAAGGAACATTTTGAGAGGGATTCAACAGATTTACACAAACTAGGGTCATGTGGAAATTGTCTCCATATGACAAGTTGCTTGTTGAGATGCTCGTGTGGATCGGGCCAAAATAGTTTGTTCAAAGAAATAATAATTTTTAAAAAAGCCAAAGCAATAGAAACAGATAATTTGCCATGAAAAACACAAAACTATATATCCTCCAATTCTTTTTATACTCCTTGTTCTGAGGTACAAAGTCTTATATCGCAAACCCTTGCCACTAGAACGAATGGAAGACGAATGTTTTTACTTCAGGGAGCAGTAATGTTATAGTGATGGGAGGGAATAAAGCAGCTTAACAAAACAAAAAATTATATTCAAGCATTCAAACTTAAGTAAGCCTACTTTATGGTAAAATGTAATTCACTGACCCAATGTGACTAGCTTGAAAGGAAATTAGCTACCTCCCTTCCAAAGACACTACTTCCCCAGTCTCCCCCACCTGAAAAAAAGAGAAGAATAACATTTTGCTTCTTTTTCAAGTGGAGAAGAGAGAAAAGAGAAGGGGTACTATGGAGTCAAAAAGCTCCAAATCCATCTGGGAAACACAGGGAGCATCTACACGTACAATTAATTCAAAGCAATAAACTCTGGGGCATATTGTGCCACAGTTTATTGCTCCTAGGCACCAGGGTCAGAACAGCCCTAGCTGACAGGGGGCCAGGGGCTACTCTGACTTGGCAAAGTGCTATAGAGGGGCTAGGTGGGGCGTGAGAATTATCCAACATGGGGCTAGCCAGCAAGCCGCCGCTGCACTGCAGTACCCTTGTGGCCCAGCCAGCTGCATCAGGGTCTGCACACGTGCTGCTGCACAGTAAAACACTTTGTATTTACTGCAGAGTAAAATACAAGTACTACCCTGCAGCAGAGTTAATTTGTTGCCTGCAGCCTGTTAGGGCCACGTGCATAGACACGAGACATTTAATTAGTCCGCTCCACAGTAAACGTCTTGTGTAGACCAGCCAACAGGTAGTTCCAGCACAACCTGAACATAAATTAGCATATCATTTCAGGATTCTACATCCTTTTAGCAATGTTACCATATGTGCCAAGTTAACCATTCACAAACAAAAAAAAAAGGCAGCACAGATTTCCTCACATCCATCTACTAGAGATTTTGCCAAGATTTCAGCAGACATCAGCATTAGTGGTCCTATTCACAGATGTCCAGCATAATCTTATCAAGCTTACTAATTTTTTTATTTTTATAAATGGAGTCCCACACGTTATTACACTTAAGGTCTGTAATGCCAACATGATTTTTCAGTGCCAAGTCAGGAAACTGTTATATCTCAAAATCAAACAAAAGATATAGTCATTTCACCACCAAGGCATAAGACAGTGAAGGAAAGAAGCTTACAGTACTTAGGAATCATCTTTCAGACCTGCGACATCAACATATCTTGAAGAGATATTAAGATTATACACTTATTCTGCATTTCATCACGTCGTTGTAAAAATCATCTAGGAAAAAGTTGTGTGCTGGAATCAAGTAGTGAGAGTGGAAGTGTGTCTGTGTGTATGAAGAGAGGGAGAAGAGGGAGAGAGGATCACGTAAATCCACATGCTTAAGAATGCATGATTGCTTAAGTCCCTGTGTCCATAACATGTAATATGGAAACAAGGACTTAACCAATCTTTCAGTTTTGTGTGAAAATCATTTTTTAAAAAACAATATGCAATTACTCCCTGATCCAAGAGACTAATGAAAGCAATAAAAAAAACAAATGGTACATCAATCACCCTCCAGTTTTCCCACCTTTTCCTTAATACAAATTCCCATTCATTTAGGGGAAAATTTACATGTAATGGGTATCATTTACATGACAATACAAGGCACAGTTAAACTGCATCTGCAAAGCAACTGATTCTGTATTAACTATCTGTAGATGCTGGAGGCATTTAGGCTCAACTGAAAATCCAGCTTTTATGATAAATTTGAAGATACTATTTAATTATTAAATAAAATGTAATTAATTAAAGCTTAGACGCATTTAATTAATTGTCAAACACAGAAAAGTATCTGTAAAATTGCATCTTTTGGCTCAAAACACACATGTGCTTCCTGTACATTTTCCAGGCATATATCTGGTTATTTAATGATCAACACAAACATCTTACTATTGGTAACCTTTCAGTGATGGTGCAGATATGAACTAGCTGCCAAATCACCAGCACTAATACTGGTACGCTTCTTCTTTTAGTCCCCAAGTGAAGAATGCAAAACATGTTGCTAGTAAAAACAACATTTTCACTTCCAGGTGAGCAGTTCTTATAGGGATACTGCGAGTTGTAAAGTTTCCTAAGGACGTTGGCCATAGAGAGACAATAAGAACGCCTACACTGCCATTTTTAGAGCCACTTTAATAAAAAAATTATGTAATAGGTTAGTAAACAAGTTTCAAGCACCTGGGTGATTACTGTTTGCTCTGGGCTAGAAATGTAGTTGTCATTTGTTAAATGATTTTTTAATGAATGTGTTTATTTTGCACATTAGAAGCTTTAGGCTTTCCCTACCCAGGGACTATCTGTTAGCTCTTATTATTGTGCCAAATCCAAATACATTGCTGAGGATGCCACTTGAGCTGAAAGAAAACAGGACAGCATGAGTATTGAAAGCATTTTACATAAATGCCACATACCACGCAGACCCTTGAGAAAGCTGTAAAAAAATGCAGGTAATTTAAGTGCAAACCATTTTAAAGAATCTGTGCCGAGAAAAGGAAATGATTATAAAATTTAAAATGCAACCAAGTACTAAGTGAAAGCCTCAAAATATCAATGAATACATTTGCACAGTAATCAACTAAACTTGAAATAGAAACAGACCTCTGACACAAAGTCCACAAAAAGAAAAGATAGCAATTTCTGTGCTGATACAAGAGGGATAAGTAATATCTAAAGGCTCAGTATGTGTCAAAATCTTGGGGGAAGAAACTCTGAGCTGGATCTGTGATCCTTAAACTCCAAAGGGCCACCATTAACTATACATCACAGAAGCAGACCACACACCACCTCCCATGAGGCAACAAGCACTTTATGGTTAGCAATTAGGAGGCGCATGTAAGATGTCAGCACCATACCGAAGCAGGGCCTAAATCAAGAATACATTCTCAGAACGTATCTGCCAAGTATAAAGGTAGATCAACTGTGTATGAGGGGGAGGAGAGTGAAAGGATTAACAAAACTGGGAAACAGACAAATGCGGCTGGATGTTACATTTCTTCCTACATGCCGGTGATATTCACTTATCAAGCCCTACTGCTCCAAGTAGGAGGCCACACATAAGCCTTTGCATAAGTTTTAATTAATGGCGTATATTTAAAAAATAAGCTTATATAGGGGATTGTCTCTCTCACCATACAGCTATATCTGTCACCTTTCCCAATTTTATATATATGTGCGCGCACACACAATTTTATTTTTATTTTATGCACCTAACTAGGTAGCTAGTGCCCTGTCTGGACTCTTGGAAAGTACAGGATAGAGATTAGAGAACAGCATTTTACTCTGGTCTTGTGGCTCTCAGTGCAGTCAATTCTCATTATTTAAAGCACCAAAGTGTCATGCTTTTCTTTAAGCCCCAGCTTCTGGAGTCAAGCAAGAATGTGAAAAACTCAGTTTTCCCTATAAAATATCAAGGAAGTTTCTTTCCCCTCTCACTGCAATGAAAGGCTTGAAAACATGTGTACTAAAGACTCAAAGAATAGATGCAAATAAAATGAATGCAATATTTATGATATATATGTATATAAAAAAATTGTGATTTTGGCAATAAGACACATGTGTCTTTTTACTGATTTTAGCAGGCAATACAGAACTCTTGCTTTATTCCATATCCTGTACTCCAGGAACACATAAGATACTTGACAGATGAAACAAGGGCAAATTCTGGGTCTTCCCATATCAAGATATAAATTATGAATCAGGGTTTTTTTAAAAAAAAATCCCAACGGTAGTGTGAAAACGAACACCGAGAACCCTACTAGTTGTTCAATAATTGTTAAAAGGCTTAAGGTAATTTTTTAAAACACAACAATTAAAGAAACACTTTTACAGAAAGCTTAGTGTTCTCCCTGGTTCCTATCCCCTCTACAAAACATATGCAGCAACAGCAGTAGCAAAGCAAGTTTCTCCATGCTTTCTTACCAGCATGCCCCAGCCATAGATAAGAAGGTTCAACTT